CAAGAAACACATGAATGTATAGAGCGTTTCCGGACACTGATTCCTGTGACAGAAGTGCAAGTCCAGGGAGGGAAGGTCTGCGACATGGACAAACACTACTGGTGGGAGCTTGTCCACTCACGGTCAGACAAGGAGGGACGGCCAGAGAGGATCTACCAGTTCTGTAACAGGTCCGTTACTAACAGATATACTAACATTTCCTTCTGTATTACAAATCAGGCAGGAATTGTGCACCAATATTTACAAACTTATTCTAACTGTACTGTATGTTGAGAACGACTAGACGTCTGAAATTGTGGATCAAGTTAGTCATGACACTTTGATTTCCATAAAATAACTTGCTTACATCTCATTAAGTGTTTATGGAGTTTGATAAGTATGTATAGCTACGGCTATGTCGGAGGTGAGCAAAATCTGTAAACAACTATTAGCAGACTGGGCTCTGCACTGGTCAAAGGTTTTCCCACCACAACTTAATCAAAAGTAACTGGATTGTGATCAAATTGGTCAACAATGATAGAAATGCAGAGGCTTCAAATTTAAATGAAATCCTCCTGTTAATATGTAGCACTTAGAAATTTCATTAGTTTCAACTGTGTATGATGATTTAGAATATGCACAAAGGGAGGCAATCCTTATAATATTAAAAGGACATTAGTTTTATATTTTGATGTTCTCTTTCACTAACACAAGAAATAGTTCAATTTTACTGAATAATAAAGTACAGATGTAGTTTGTTCTTGTGTCACACACTTAATTACAAGAACATCAGGAATGTCCAAAATATATCACTTTGTTATACCATAAGTGTAAGGGGATGCTACATGGCATGCAACATACATAGATAATGTTCTTCCCCTGTGGTTAAAATGCACAGATCTATACTTACATATCACAAAAGTACATAAATATATATATATCTATATCACATAACCATTTTTTTAATCATTGTTTTTGTCCTTTTTTATTTCACCTGTTTGTGCAAAAAACCTCTACCACGGTAATACAAAGCTTGTTGATTGTTTCCATGAAGTGCCTTTTAATTCTTTTCTAGTTCGACAGAGGCTAAATCTGACTTTATGAAGATAATTCGTCAAACAATACGTGAGAGTGTAAGGAAGATGACTCTGCCGCAGGGAGGCAACGGGAAGACCAGCAAGAATTACATTCCATATGGTGGCAAACGTCTGGAGGGTCTGGTCGGGAGCAATGTGCGCACGCTAAGAAAGAAACAGTCAAACAAGATCCTGGACGGTGAGAGACATTCTATGGAATTGGATGGGAAAGTGAACTTGTTAGAAGGTGATTCTTTTAGGACTCGCAGTAAAACAGTAGGCGATTTAAATGTTGACGATTTGGACACTGAATCGCAGACTGAGACGTACGTAGCATACTCCGAGCCACAAATCTCGGCAGACTCCAAGAGTTCTTGTTCTTCTAATTCTAATCTGAGCACATCTAGTCGTAACAGTGGCTCAGCCAAGCTGACCTTCGCCAGTGCTAACCCAGTCACTCACTCGTCCAGCAGCATCAGCTGTGACGATGGTGGCTCCCCTGTATGGAAACCTAGACATGAAACTATTTATCGACCCAAGTTGTCTCCCCCTAGTTCTTCTGTTAGCAGTAAGGTGAACAGTTACAACAAACATGTACAAAGTGATAAAGCGTCTTCAAATATTCTGTATATAAGTGATACAAACACTGTGGTCCTCAAACAGGCACCTCAAAGTGGGCTCAAAGACACAGAGTGCTGATACACAGCTTCAGTGGCACTTTTCAAGGTCAAAGTTCATGTGTAAAACTTGAAGTTCAACTACTCTACCATAAAACTTACCTAGATATTTTGAATAATGTATGCAAGATTTAGATTAAGTACCAGTGGATATCTAATATATGGAAGATTACTTTCAGATGTGCATTTATAATTAGCGTGCAATGCTCAAGTTACTGTATTTATACAAATTATAAGGAATTACTTTTAACTATAATCAGTGATTGTAAATGGTTATATGTGCAGAGTCTGTGATTATACATACAAGTTTACAATACTGTTTCACAACTCTGTATCATAATTGTGATCTGATTTAACCTCAAAATGATAGGCTGAGCCTGATGTAAGACTCACAGTGATAGGCTGAGTCTGTTGTAAGCCTCACAGTGATAGGCTAAGCCTAATGTAAGCCTTACAGTGATAGGCTGAACCTGATGTAAGTCTCACAGTGATAGTCTGAGCCTGATGTAAGTCTCATAGTGATAGGCTGAACCTGATGTAAGTCTCACAGTGATAGGCTGAACCTGATGTTAGTCTCACAGTGATAGGCTGAGCCTGTTGTAAGCCTTACAGTGATAGGCTGAGCCTGTTGTAAGTCTCACAGTGATAGTCTGAGCCTGATGTAAGTCTCATAGTGATAGGCTGAGCTTGATGTAAGCCTTACAGTGATAGGCTGAGCTTGATGTAAGCCTTACAGTGATAGACTGAGCTTAATGTAAGCCTCAAAGTGATAAGCTCAGCCGAATGTAAGCCTCAAAGTGATTGGCCTGTTAACCTCAGCCACATACCGGAGGTGTAATTACCAAACTTGTTCAATCCTCTATATTTACAAATGTTATTAATCCTTATTCTTATCTGTTTAAGTGGATTGTTGTAACTGTTCTCAATATGCAGATATTTGATATTAAAGTCGAGATTATTTGTACTCTTAAGAATAACTGATAGCTAATCCAGAAAGCTTTCCCAAGCACAATTCTGTATCCAAAGAAACCATTTTTCTGGTGGATTGCATAGTATTTTCAATGTATTGGTCTAGTGCTATTACAAGTGTACTCACCCTTTTACACACTTTCTGGATTTTAGGTGTTATGCAAAATGAATATTAAATCTCATGTATTTTAATCTTGCCTTTTATTATAAGATATGCCCAATGTAAGCTTCAATTGATAGGAGTTTATTACAGGCTGTAGATACTGTAGATACTCTCAAACAACACAGGGATTTAACAACATGGTAAATATGGAAGGCAAGTGTTCTTCTATGAGGTCAACCCACCAATATAACTTTCATATCAAAATTACTTTCTTAACATAATATTGTAATTGGTAGAAGCTTCCCCAATGGTATTCCTATAGACCCAAACAGAGTTGTCTTCCCTTGACGTTTAATGAATTGCTTGAGATCCAAATATGGGTTTGACTGAAATTGACCAACATTGCAGGCTCCAGCAAATCTCTCCGATCAGCTGTTAATTTTTATTTACCTGCAGTTGTGGTCATGTTTGACAGGTTAGATTTCAATAATCAAACTCAGATGAGTCGTATTGGCCCAAGTCATTTACACTGTAGTGGTTAAAATATGTGTCCACTCTGTAGTGTGTGATTTCCTGTAAACATTGTCATGTGAAAATGTGGCTCCAGTCTTGATTGGCCTGATTTGTGAGTTGTGTACGTGTAACTGTAACCTCCTGCTGTATCCTTTGTGAGTCCTCACACTGTTTATATATATATGTATATGTACATATTTAAGATACTAGTCAGTCCTTATATGGAGTTCTGTGTGTATATACTGTTATTATATGGAATTCTATGTGTGTATACTGTTATATGTATTGATATGTCGTTATATGTATCTGACTGTTTTAATTGCCCATTTCAGTGTCTAGTAGGACTTGTGAGGAGAACCAAGAGGTAATTTAGCACTTGTATCAAACTTAGCTTCTCATAAAACATCCTAGCGAATCGTGGTAGCTATTGTACCTATACAAACTTGCATCTTGTGTTTTGATTGTGGCTGTATATGTACATATATATACATACGACACCTGGGCACACCTGGGCAGGTGTATGACCCCCCACCTACACCGGGCTACTATGGATACTCGTCCTCCCAATGTGTCCCCCTGTTTTTGGTTTATTCTGATCCTGTAGAAACATTGATATGGTGCTGGAACATGATGAAGGTGTCTTGCATGATAGTGCTATTTCACTGGTTTGAGTTGTCGCTATGACATCCTTTAAGTAATGTATTTTGTGATGATGATGTACATTTTTTGCCAAAGTTATCTGAATCTCTATTTGTTCAAATTTTTCAGTTTTATTAAGAATATTCTTATCATAAAACCTTAGAATTGAAAAAGACACTCAAGTTGAAAGAGATATCACATTGTTCTGAAAGTATTCCAAATTGTGCATAATTATTCACAGAGTTTTAAGGGATTTTTAAATATGAGTATAGATTTTTTTCAAGAACTTAAAAAAAATTGACTGATTTCTTTTATATACTATTGAAATGCCATTTGGATGAAATACAAGAAAAGCAATTAAAGATAATTTTCATTTGAATGTCTTTTTAACTTCTAAGGTCAGATATAAATGAGAATATTATGATGTTATATATAAATACATGTTATTAAAGTAGATAATCACTGTCATATCCCATATCTCATTTACTCATTTCATTTCCAGCATTGCATGCATAGGATGGTATGGATGGAGAGTTAGTAGATAGTGTGGTATTAAGGTCAGCACTCAGGGGTTGGGTAGAGCATGATTTATACTTCCTAGAATACTTCTCAAACTTTTAACATTGATTTTATGCCAATATAATTTTACCATTAAATATATTCTTCCTAAAATTGACATTTACTATTAAACTTCAATTTCTTTAATTTTTGTATTAAATTTATGCAAGAGAAGATTTTTGTTATAATTTGTTGATGGATATCTGTCTAAAATTGGTAAATTTATCAAACTTCAAATTTCAATATTATATATATAAGCAGAGTTATCTCCCTTTGCATATAAGCTCTTTAATATGGTCTAACATCCCAATAAGTAAGATGAGTCGTGTACACGGACAAAAGGATCCCTATACCACTGCCAAAATATGTAGCTATATATTGGAAACTTTTTTTTTTATGGAATAAATAACAATAGCTTTAATTAATCATTTCTGAAAAGAAATCCATATTTTGAGGAAGTTTCTATGGACCATTGTTAGACTTTATGAAGATTTGTTTTTCTTTTATTGTGAAATTGAGATGAACTTGGAATTATGTTTAAATTAAAATATATTATATAACTTCAGCTGACAACATTATTATTCATCGGAGAAGAAATTATTGTTATTTTTATTTTACAAAGAATATACTGCATTTTTTTATCACTAAAAATCTTAAGAGTGCAGTAAACAGCTTTTCCAGTACTTACACAATATATACGTTTAAAGAAAAGTAGATGTTGCTTCTGTTTTTGAAAGAAAAAGGGGATAAAAGAGAAAACACTAAAAGAAATTAAAATAAGTGTTCTGTGTTAGGAGAGTAACAGGACCAGGGTTAAAACCTTGGACTTTCACTTCACCGAGGTCTTCTACAGTTACATCACAAAATTAAGGGGAGGCTATACATGTACAAAAATCTGCAGTGGAACTCTCTAGTATTTTCCTGAAGTGGGCCAGGGATCCTTAAATTAGTTAGGTGGATATCAAATGGCTAGGTAAGATAAAATTTAATAGTAATGTCTTTCAAGGTAATAAAAAAAACTGTTCTGCTCAGTATATGAAACATTTGAGTCAAACTTAAGTGAGTGGATAGGTTTAAATGAGTGGAGTAAGAGTGGACGTCGGTCACTATGGTCAGATAGTTAGAATGTTTAAGTGTGTTATTGCTTCACCTTGTATTTTTGTGTCATTTCTTGTGCTGTCAGAGATATTTTTCTTCCTCGCATGTTCATACGTTGATGAATACATCAATGCTGAAATACAAATGTTCATGGGATACTGTGCAATCTTTAAATAGAAAGAAATTTGTATCTGTATATAAAGTTGCAATGATCAATCCAGATATGGTAGCCAGTTATGGCTGTATAGGTTATATATATACATATAAACCTTTTTGTGTAAATAATCATTGTACCATTTATACATTGATCATAATTCGGATAATGTTACATAACTCGTCAAGGAATTTTTAGATATTCAATTTTAAAACAGAAAACATATCATTATTCATGATTGTCATTTTAAGTCATTTTAACTGGCATCAGAGAGTCGTCTTATCTTTATGTTAGATTGAGATTTGTTAACATATGACATGATAAATAAACAGTTAAAAAAAGACCTGGATTTGGTTGAGATTAATGTTTGGTTTTGAGGTTAACTCATCTACAGATAAGTAGTTTTGTTATAGAGGATTTCAGATTCAGACAAGTGTGAGCTCAGGTAGAAGTGAGATTAAGGGGATATAACTTCGTCTTGCTAATTACCTGGGGAAGGTCTATTACTTTCTACTCAGTTCATACAGTGTCAGAGATTACAAAAACATTGAACCGTTTAAATATTTTTAAGAATTACTTCAAAATCTTAACCCTTTAGCCATTTCAGTCATTTCCTTTTAGTGTACATTAAGATTTCCACAAATGTTGCATTCTTTGTTTTAAACTATATATTAACATCTGGATTACACTCCGTTATCAAAAGTGACATCGCAGCAAGAATGATCGTATGGTAAAATCTATATTACGCTCCTTAATAAAAAGTTAAATCCCAGGGAAATGTCAACAAGCCTACATCTGTATCACACTCTTTAATTAAAAGTTAAATCCCAGAGAAATGTCAACAAGCCTACATCTATATCACACTCCTTAATAAAAAGTTAAATCCCAGAGAAATGTCAACAAGCCTACATCTATATCACATTCCTTACTCAAAAGTTAAATCCCAGAGAAATGTCAACAAGCCCATATCTATATCACACTCCATACTCAAAAGTTAAATCCCAGAGAAATGTTAACTAGCTTTCATCTATATTAAGCTCCTTAATCAAAAGTGACATCATAGCAAGAATGTCAATATGATTACATCTATATCACACTCCTTAATTAAAAGTTAAATCCCAGAGAAATGTCAACAAGCCTACATCTATATCATACTCTTAAATTAAAAGTGACATGACATCAAGGATGTCAACAAGTCTACATCATCTATATAAAGCTTACATCAGGACTGCACTTATTAACTTAAGGTGATCTTATTTCTAAATTCATCAATGTTGTCCTCGAAGAAAGGTTGTATCATATCTGGAATGTTAACGTCCCTA